CTGCAAATTTCTCTGGTGAATGCTGTAATAATATTGCTTTCTCTTCAAGATTATCTGGGATTCTTTTATCTTCTTGCAGATTATTTGCAGGAAAAAAGACGACTCAATTATTATGCAAGCACATTTCCCTTTAATGTTATGTGACATTGGTATTGCTTTTGTTCTTCCAAATTTGTTTCTCTCTATCTGATACATAATTTAATCTAATTTCTCATTGTGCTTGTTTATTCTACTTGAGTTGAACACTTTCATGCATTGGGTGCTTTATTTTGTCTGTTTACTTCATTTTTTATGTCCTCTAAACAAATGTGTAGGCACTTAATCATCTGTTTCCATTTTCACATAGCATTGGTATAGACTGTACTGTAGCTAGAACAATCCAAACATAAATTAAGGCATCTTCTGATGAGAAAATCTGACATAAAATACTAAAATATTTCTTTGGCCAGAATTATTTATAGAACTATGGCTATTGTTTTTGCAAAACATAGCAAATGCTTCCACAGCTGTGGAAAAGAAAGAAAATGATTAAAGGATTGCAATGTTTTTTCTCTCACTGAAGGGACTTGTTTGTTGTTCATAAATTTGTGCTTTAGCTGTTTCATTTTTAAAAGGAAAAGGTCATAAGAGAGTTTCTCAATGTATTCACAAGGAAAGCAAAAAGCCCAAGATGAATTGGGAAAAGCATTCTGCGTTTACAGAGCAGCTGCATGTGTAGCGGTCAGCAAATTCAGAGAAAAATACAGCAGTATTTTTTTCTCATGATTTTTTTATAGTTGAACAGAGGAATCTAATGTGCTTTCTGCTTCATTCTGTGTTCACATATAACAGGAGGGAGACCAATCTATCATAGGAAATCTCACTCTGATAGGTCTCGATCTAAGGATGTGTATAGAGGAACCTTTGAAGTGATACAGAGCATAGAATTATTTGTAGAGTTAGCACCTACAGACAAATACATTTTTTAGTAACTTTCCAATTCATCCTTATTGCAGCATGACTGCAAAACTTACTCAACCTCATGAGGCTAAAATCCATTGATCTCACTGGCCCTTGCTATTCCTGGGCTCTGCTCCTCGCTGAATTTGAATTCCAGGGTCAATCATTAGAAGCATTCTTTCACAGGCTCCCTCCCTCAACCACTCATCTTTCCTTGACAAAATGCCAGTTCTAGTTAAATCCAAATCTCTGCCTACTTGTAGCCAGAATCTAAGCAAATAAATGGGGTTGCAAAAAACAGCCAACCGAACAGGCTAGTAACCAAGACAGACTCACCATTTCCCTCAGCTTGACTAAACTTTGAACAGATTTCGTCCTGACTCTAGTTTCCTGATCTCCCTTTTTAACAGAGCATTTTCTTTAGAAAACCTATGATTATAAATTCTCTGTCTGCATCTTAACAAGTTTTCTTCCAGCTCACTGTCAGCTTCACAGCTCAGGAATATCTTCCTCAAGGACCTAAGAGCCATTCCTCAAAAATGTAATCAAAGGAGACAGAGCCTCTATCTAATCTCTGTGAAAGGGTAAGACTTGAACTTCTAAAATTGACAATTAGCAAACAAAGATGACTTAATCACATTAACCAATCTCCTCTCTATAGGAGTACCCCTACTGAATTATTCTAGAATAATTTTCTCCTAGCTCACCGCAGCACTTAAAATCCTCCTGCCTTTTATTATAACATGGCTAAGTGTGACCTCCAAAGGTGCTCAGAACAAGTCTCCCCAAGATGTGTCACTCTGACATATGAATTATTTCAAACAGAAGTCAGTTGAGGACCTGCAGACTCAGGAAAAATGTTTACACTCCCTTAACCATCTATTATAGAAGAGTGAAAATTGAAAATATTACCTAGGTTGAGGGTTATATCCAGAAATAACTTTTCTATAAGAGAAGCCTACCCATATGGCAAGGCAAACATGTAATTACAGAGCATCTGCTCTTCATTCATGTGAGACCCCATCCTTGCTGCTTGAATCCCATTCTTCAGCTCAGGATATAACCCTCATCACCCCTACTGAAACGGGAATCCTCATTCCTTATGTAGAGACCCTGTGTGTACATAATTAAAATGACTTTTTTCTCTACTAATATGTCTGATGTTTTGATTTCTCAATCAGCCTGAGAAGAAACTAGAGGAGAACAGAAAAATTTCCTGGACACTCCTGTCTCTTTTGCCTATTTCAAGCCTTAATTTAACTCTACCTTGCCTGTTTGACTTAGATTTGAGATTGCTAATGTCAAGTAGGGCCTGAATGATGGCTGGCAATCAAGCTGTGTGTTTTCCTAATCCATTCACTCACCCATTTTTCTCATACTCTCTCCTCCATCCTCAGACCTCTACCCTTACCTCATTGTCTACTGACTTGCATTATAGGTCATGGAGAAAATACAGGACAGCAGAAAAGGTTCTCCACAGTTTCAAGCACCCCATCAACTCACCTAATTACTCAGGTACGTAGTAACTCTGCCTCACTGTTTCTTCAGATATCAGAGCCCCTTTCCCATTGTGATGATATTCAAGATGCTGCTTGTACAAACCTCCTCTTTCCCTCCTGCTTCTCTGTCTCCTGTGCTACAACAATTCTCTCCTACCCCTTCCTCCTCTTCCCACCTACCAACCCAATTCTCTCCTGGCCTTTTTCAACAAAACTCAAAAGCAAGCTTACTTGAAACACTTTCTTCTCTTCGATTTCAAGGCACAAAATTCTTTTAGTTATGCTTCTACTTTTATAAGCAGTAATATTTCCTCATCTCTTAAAGTGAAACTTTGAGATTCAGCCACTAAGACTTTTTTCTCTTTCCATTTTCTTTCCTTGATTCCCTTTGCGATCACTGACCCATTCTGCTATCTACCATCCACATGTATCTAATGCGTGATATTTTGTTTGTGATGAAACTTAGCAAAATGACATTTCATTAACTATGTTAAATGTTTGTGGTTTTGCATTTTTTCTCTCAGTACTATGTTTTTTAAATCCATTTGTGCTATTATTCCAATTGATGGCTGCTACCTGCTGCACAGTTCTGCCTAGTAGTCATCCACTTATGCTCCCCAGAGCAAACCCAGATGGTCAAGAGCTCCCAGTTATACAATATTACAATAAACCATCCACCTGCCAAAGACCCCTAAACTTCTGATTTTCCCTGAGTGTCTAAACTTTCCACCCCCAATGTCATCTCTCTATAGTCTTTTTTTTTTTAAGATATATTTTCATTTATACAAGAACTGGGGTACAGTCCAGATGTGCAGGAAGGTGAGAGGATTCACCAGAGACACAGCAGGGAACAGAACAGGCAGACTGATGAAATACACTGCTGAGGAGAGCAGCGGGCGAGACAGGAGAGGTCTGCTCACCATGTGGGTTGCTCCAAGGCCGGCGGGGATCAAACCGGCACTGCAGAGGCTGCGGACAGCTTCATAGTGCTGTGCTCAACCGCCTGTGCCACCAGGGAGGCCCTCATATCTCTATAGTTTTCTCTATTTCAGTGACTAACTCCATCCCCCCAGTTATACCTGCCAGAAATGTTAAACTCGTCCTTGACTTCTTTCTCATGCCACACATCTACTATAACAGAAAAGCTTTTGATCTCTAAGCTTCAAAATGCATTCAGAATCTATTTTTCAATTTCTTTTTAACAGAGTGAACAAACCACCACCATTTCTCTCTTGGATTATTGCAACACCTGACTTACTCATTTCTCAACATAGCAGCTACAGCTTTCTTATTAAAAAGTTAAGTCGCATAATTTCAGTGCTATGCTTAGAGTGAGCCATGGCCTTCATCTCACCAAGTAAAAGCCAAATTAATTATAATGATCTAAATGATCCTAAAAAATTTGCCTGTTCCTACTGTTGTCTTCTAACCCCTGACTTTAACCCTGTAACACTGATTCCCTGGCTATACCTGGCACTCCTCAGGCATAATCTTCCTGGAACCTTTTTATGAGCTCTTTCCTCAACTCCCACACTTTATCACCTCTTTATTCAATCAACAATTCTGGTTACAAGCACTAATCCCTGAATTCCACATGCCCTCATTACCCTGCATCGATTCTTCCCTTTAGCCTTTATCGCTATTGAATACATCATAGTCTCTTTCATAGTATTTAATCTTGATTTAACTCTTCCTTGTCTGTTTGACTTAGACTTGAGATTGCTAATGTCAAATCTTCTGTGTGACCACCACTGAAAAAATGTAAACTTCAAGAAAACATAGATTTATTTTTTGCTGTGTTTTTTCATTGCTAGATTCCCAGTGCCCAAGAGAGCCTGCAACTCAGTGGGAATTCAATAAATATTTGTAGAACAGATAAAACAATCAATATGAAGTATTATTTTAAGCACCCTGAAGAATAAAAGGGGAAATTAACACACCAGAAAGATTCAGGTAGGAAACACATTCCTAAACCATCCTTTGCCTGAAGACTAACCATTTACATCTCATTTCACTTCTGTTTACCTTATTAACTTTCCTTTGAAAAGTCCTTTAAAAGCTACTATTAAATAGTCTAATGAATATTGTTTTTCTTCTGCAAATTCATGGCTTCAAAGGAAAGGAAGCCAAGAGTAGACTTTCACATTAGGCATAAAATTATGTGCATAACATATACTATTATGCTAATAAAATGTACACCCAACTACTATTTTCTGTTGTAAATTTACTGTTCTGAAATTTCAGAGTGGTAGTTACTACAATTGTGCTTTACATTGACTGAAATAAGGGAGAAATATGTCATGTCCCATTCTTGGAAGTCAAAGTAACATTGTATATGCTGCAATGAAAAGTTTTCCTCTCTCTGTAGTTAAGTTGATTTGCACATTTCTAATTGTGTATAAATGTCGGATATGCTGAGCTGCTTTTTATTTGAAGCCAAATATACAGCTCATCCAAAAGCTTAAAAATATTTAAAAGGTCTCTGCAGTCTGTGATTCGTCATCACACAGCTGTGATGGGCTAGGTCTCATCTCAAAAAGTTCAAGGGCTAAACACAATTACCTCTTCAAGGACATCAGCAAGCTTACTAAGGATCTCTTCAGGAAGGCTCTGGAATGTCGGAACACTGAAAAACAAAACAGAATGATGCTGAAGGCAAGAACAGCAATTTACTTTCATTCAGCAGTGTATCTGAATAAAAATGCATAAGCATTTCATGGCAAAGAATCTGTGGATAAAGATCCAAGCAATAACTTAAGCATGATTTGATGACTTATAGGGAAGTCATGTTGTACTAGAAAGAACTTGGAGTTTTGACAGCACTGAGTTCACATCCCCCCTATGTTTAATTCTGTAATTTTGGATGCATCCACTCTACCGGGATAAAACCTTGTCAGTGTGCTGTTGCCAGATTCCTTCCAGTTCCAGCTCCCACCTACACATACACATACACATACACACACCCCCCATACATATGCACACACCCCTTTTGACAAGCCAACCCTTACTTGACCTTTGGTCACACCTTGATAGACCAATATAATCAGGTCTGCAAGCATTCATTCAACAATGTTGGAAAGCTTCTGGCACTTTCCAAGTCTTTCCCAACTAGTGAAGGTTCTCCTATTAAGACCATGTTTTGTCCTTTACTATAATAGTAATTAGATAATGAATCAAATATTTATTCCTAAGTCTCTTTCCTAGTAGAATTAAAATTCTACAAAATAGGAACTCTATCTGCCTTGTTCCTTATTCTCAGTGATTTCTGAAATAACAACTCAGGAGAATGTGTTGGATGAGCTATGAAAGCTTAGATGTGTGAATGTGTCCTAGAACTGTATAAGGATCAGAGCAGACAAGATAGAGAAAATAGCTAGACTCTGCACACACTAAAGTATGGCAGTTCTCTTCTTCTTATCCTGTTTTCTTATTTTGCCCCACTGGCAAGCAACTGAAAATACTGATGATCTTGAATTTACAAACCAATAAAATGTTTTATCTATGAAACAGTAAAAGGGAAAAAAAAAAACAACAACACAGATCAACATATAATTCTTGAAATGCCATTGAAAAAATCTAACCAGAAAGTGGAACCAAATTCTCATTTAATTATAGCTCAATGCTTGAATAGAGAAGACTATAAATGAGTGCATATACATTTAGGTAGCTGATATTTGACTTTAATAATTTGGGCTTGATTACCATGATGAAAGATGTCATAGGATACTCCTTCATATAAGCACAGATAGTTATAATTTGTCACTCTGATGACTTAGTGTAAAGCGTCCTGATAACATTCCCAGGGTTTTTCTTGCAGAGGTATAACAATTTACCAGGACCATCTGTTCCACCAGATTTACTGCTGTGGTCTTGGCCATGTGGATTTTAATTTCCACAAGGCAGTCTATTTCAGCAGCTGGATGGAACATATCACAGAGACAGAGAAAGACACAGCAAGCTGTTTCCAGGAGTTATGTAGGTTGAAAAATCTAGCCTCTTTTTGTTCTTTTATGAACTATATTTCAGTTTCTTCTGAAACATACAAATAATTAAAATGCTTTATCCCAGTGGATATTTATGGAACACACAAATTGAGTACAACTGAGTTTTTCTCATTTTAATATAATTGACTCCTTTAGACAGATCTATTATTTCTATGCCACACATTTAATTTCAATCTATACTTTGTCAATCCATACTACAAAATTCTCACTTTTTTGAGAGTTCTTACGCATGAGAAAATTAATATTTGCTCAACATATAGCAGACTAAATGAAAACAAAAAACATTAATTTTAAGAGGACATTTAATTTTTTTTTATTTTTCACTTTTCCAGATTTGTGAGGTCTCATTGACAAAATTGTAAAAATACTTTGAGCATACATCAAAATGCCTTGGTATCTGTATAAAATATGAAAGGATTCTTCCAATGTAGTTAATTAACACATCCACTACCTTATTGATTTCTTTTGTGTATGTGTGAGTACAGGACAGTTCTACTCTTTCAGCACATTACAACTATACAATACAGTTTTATCAATTATAGTCACTGTGTTTTACTCTAGTCCTCAGAGTTTATTTAACTTAGAGTTGAAAGTTTGAAACCTTTCACCAGCCTCTCCCCATTCTCTAGCATACCCCCTGGCGCTTGCCAAGAACTTTTCCACAATTGTTTCTATGAGTTTGACCTTTTATTTATACTCCACATTTAAGTGGTACCATACAATTTTATCTTTCTTCATCTGGTTCAGTTAATATAACAATGCCTTTGAGGTCCATATAAATTGTCTCAAAAGAAGGGTTTCTTCATTCCCATGACTGGGTAACATTCTATTTTATATGTACATATATGTGTATATGCACATGTCATGTATGTGTGTGTTTATGTGCATTTACAAATTAAATGTTTATATAAACACATACAACATACATCATGATTTTTTAGAATTTTAAATGCATCAAAACATTCAGCAGCATTTATTACTGATAAAAATTAAAGATAATTTTTAGAAGAAACACTAAAAACTAGCAATAACAAATGAATCACTCCTAGATTTAACATAATGGAAATCAGTTAACAGAAAAATAAGTGACTTCATTAAATTACTCTAAAAACACTTTTGTAGCCATCTTTAATATTCCAATATTTCCATTTCTCCAAATAATAGATAAGCTCTCTCATGTAATTAACTTTGTTTCTAAGAATTACAGGTCCACTAATAGCTTGTAATACCAAGAAAAAAACAATTGAGGATGTTCATAATTTGAAATTGCAACCATGAAATATGCTTGCTGAATACTCGTAAATGCATCAAAAGACATTAATTTAGATTCCACTAATCTGGACATAATAAATCACTAATAATCCAAGATAAAGATGTCTGTAATTTGGAAAAGTTAAGAAAAAATAATTATAAGGTCAAACTTTGAAAAATATTTAACTTCTAGAAAAGAATATGTTCATATAAATAAATTACGATTTGTTATAACAATTTACTTGCTAATTAAAAATAATTATTGCCGATCCATTTAAACATTTCAGTCCCCTAAGAACTTAAAAAAAGACCTAAAGTTACAAGTGAACTAGCATAAAATAGTGATGATTTCATGTACAAAGCTTTTCTACCGAACTTTCTAATTAAATGAAGTGAGGACTTGGAATGTGTGGAATGACAATAACAGACAATGAGATCTGATGCTTTCTTTTTGGTAGGTACTGGGCTAAATATTTTATAGATAATATAAACTTTATTTTTACAACCTTATCAAATAACCACTGTTTTTTGTCACTCATTTTGCTTATAAGAGAACCAGGAATCTGAGAGTTTGCCTAAGGTCATACCACTCTCATGGGTGAAGAAAAGATGAAAAGTCTGCAGCTAATCCTTTCCTCACTAAGTCACAGACTCCACAGTAAAAGGACAAAAGGCACCTTGGTAAAACTCAAGTAGTACTACATTTCTTTGGATGATTTAGAATTAATCAATTATGTTAATAACATTTGATATAGTGATTTTACTAACCAATTTACTATGAAAAATGTTTAGATGAATGGCCAAAAGAATAATTTAACCATCCCCTCTATCTCTACCAGCTAGATTTGAACTGCTGACTTTGTGTCATCTTTTCTTTCTTTGAAAACTTAAATTTTCTGTGGATAAATATAAATTATTTTACTGAATCAACAACTGATGGTGATTTAGGTGGAATGCAAAAGAAATGAAGCAAAAGTTACGAAAAATAGAATGATGCTTTATTTTCACTCCCAGATTCTATTTACATTTCTTGTATATATTCTCAGAATATGTCTGTATCTTTATAGTTTTAGATACATATGCATATATGCATGTACATTCAAGAAATTCTCAAAGATCTTCATAATACTTCAATAAACTTAATGTTGTATTCTTTTCACACGTGTGCAAGTCACATTACGCTTTTCTGATCCTAAATATAAAAGAGCTGGATAGTTCCTTCTCATGATCTTTGAATGCCACAGGGATCTCCCTGTAGATCACCTTTTGCAAAAAGTCCAATGTTTCTGTTCTCAGTCTGCTTATTTCTAAATACTCTAAGCCCCATACTTATATTTTATTTAACATCCCTTTGTGCATTTCCAAAGCTACATGGACATGTCCTAGTAGTCAGTAAATGGTTCACCCCCTTCATTCTGCACTTATTAGAACAAAAGAGTCACAGATTCTCTTCTATCTTCTTCCTCACCTTTCACTGTTTAGGAAGGGAAATGTAGATAATATGGAGTTTTAAACAATAAGAAAAATTATGGTCTCTGCAGAAAGCAGAATGGGTTAGTTTTAAGAATTCGGATGAAATATTAAAATTTATTTTAATCAGTTTCAAACCAAGGTACATATTGTTAAACTTGCATGTGGAAAAATAACAATCACCTGTAAAATACTTCTAAAGCATACTGAAGCACAATTGCTGTCTCAAGGAAAATTACTAGTGTAATTGTTGGTGTTAAAAGCTGAATTTGTCATTTTTTTCCATGGAATATCATTTTTTACTTGGGAATGACCAACACACTATAGTCACTCAGGCAAGTAATTTGTCAATTTTTTGTAAAAGAACAAAATAAACTTGATACTTCAAGGAAAACAGCAGGCAATATTTGTTGATAATAAAAAATGTAAACATTCAATTAAAAATTAAAATGTCAGAAGACTTATCTACTACTGTGGGTTTAACAGCTTTCCAATACTTAAAGATTTTCTGAGGAGATAACTGGTGACATGTTAATATTAACAAATGTGTTTTTTTTTATATTGGAAATCCTGCAAAACTCAGTGAACCAGTATTTTCCAGTTGGCCAATGAATTACATTACAAAACCAAGCATGGGAAAATATCATTCAAAGTATGAGATGGACCAACAGGTTTTACTGAATAAAATACGAAAAATTCATTCATATGGTTTCAGATTTAATATTGCATCTCAGCTTTCAAAACTGCCATGTTTGGGATTATGGTAGTATAGCACTAAGAATGTCCACAGTCATGTAAAAAGGCCTTTAGTTACTTCCCTCTTTCCCTACTGTAGATTTCTCTGTATATCATCTTTGGCATGTGATTCTGACTTCATGTTCTTCAACCAAAAAACAGAAAT